GGCACGGCCACCTTGTCACCTCTTCGACCCTTGGCCTTGCCACCTTTTCCGACCTGAGCGAAGCCATCGTCCTCAAAGGCTTCACTGGCGGCTGCGTCGGCAGCTCCCTGGGCCTTGTCCTGTTGCGTAGCTGGTGGCTGGACTAGGTAAGCAAGAGAGTCGATGGGCACGTAGCCTCGACATTGGGAGCCTCGCGCACAGAGCACGAAAAAGTCCGAGTCGTTGCTGACGGCCCAGCCGCTCATCCTGTCGGCTGTTTCGGCCACTGCGCTGTCGGCCTCGATCTGCTCGACGACAATCTGCACTTGGCACTGGCGGAGCGCATCGAGCGTGCAGTCGTAGAGTAGGGGCGGGAAGACGCCCATTGAGACCTGGAAGCCTGGCTTGGATCTAGACGACGAGCGCATGAACGCCGAATTGTTGGAAGCCGTCTCTCCGAGTCGCGACAGAACGGTGGGGATCTTGAGGGGCAGGTACGGTCCGTCGAAGACAAAGATAGGCTCCAGCGAGGCTTGGCGGAGGGCCTTGACGAAATGACGGACGTACAGGTTGTAGCCGACATAGTCGCCACCACGAAGAGACTCGACAAAGTGGTCGAGGTAGGCTCGGTAGATCCACGCCCAGCCATCGACGACCAAAGGGCCTGTAGGAGTCGAAGCGCCCGACGACGAGCTCGCCGCATCGCCATCGCTTTTGGTCGGGATAGTCACCTCCTCCGACACGACATGCTGGATCTGCTTGACAAACGACGTCAAGCCCTTGACGCCCATGTTGAACTGTAGTGATGCCGCACGTTATACACGTCGGCAGGGTATCGATGGAGGTTAGAAGTAGAATGTCGGACGGAGGATCTCTCCTCGGCGACGGTCGAGCAAATCCAATTTTGCAACACAGACCTCCACAAGCGGTCGACGCGATCTTGCAGTTTTTGACACTGTTAGCCCGTCAAAATGTACAGTATACAAGATGTATATCGACACTGTCGCTACAAGGTGGACAAGCATCCGATCTGGCAAGTTTGAGCGGCACAAAACTTGCCGGCTGGCTTGCATGAAGCGCAGCCTGCTCGACCTGATGTTTGTAAGCAGACATTGTCATTCGGCGGCAATCGCGGCAGGATCGACGTGGGCAATCAGCGGCGACGAGTTGGACGCGCGTCGAAAACCGTCGGCATGCTCGGAGCGCAAACGAGCCGACCAAACCCTTGACCATGTGCGACCAGAACCGCCGGTCCCCCCCACCGTACTTGCTGGCATTCTGGCCCTGTCCTTGCTGACTGTGTGCTCCGTTTTGCCAGCATCGCCTCCTAGCATTCTTGTCGAAACGCTAGAGGCCTCGCTTGGATCGATCAGCCCAGCCAGCGTGGGGGGGCCAGTGTCACTCCTACAATAGCTCCCCGCCTTAAGATCGGAGCTCGGATCGCCGGCTGGCTCGGCGGCCGAATTTGCTTGGCATTTTTCGCGTTTGGCCCGCGTCCGCGCTCTGGTGCCGCTGCCGAGGCAGATTCGAAAATGGCAACAGCAACTGCAAGTGAGCGTGCAGCGTGTCATGCGCCGTGGCAGCTCCACTCTGCATGGCAGCCTGCGCCGTGCCCAAAGCATTTCATCCTCTCGTTCTCCTTCGGAACGGCACCCATGCCGCGTCCCACATGCTCGCTACATCAGTGGCTTAGATTTGCCGGCACACCGGTTGGCTCTTTTACGACGGACCCAAGTAAAGCCAGCAGCGCCTGTCGTTGGTCGTGCCATCCAGCCATCTCTCTCTCTTGCGACACTTGCCTTTCGACTCCATCACTGCCATCGTCGCCTTCGCTGGCTCTCAGCGCTAACTCCATCCACGCAAGTGCTGCACCACCACCACACCCATGGCAGAGGCACGAAAGGCTGTTGAAGACCTTATCCGGCTCTCGAGCCGCGTCGTGCGCATCCTCGGCCAGAATCCCGGGCCCTACACGCTCGCCGGCACCAACACGTACCTCATCTCAACGCCGCCCGTCGCGCACGCAAAGCTCGAGTCAAGACCCTCGATCCTTGTCGACACGGGCGAGGGCACCGAAGCGTACCTGCCATTGCTCGAGCGCGCGCTCAAAGGCTCCGTCGACGGCGTGCCTTCCAAGGATGCCGCTCGCTCAAATCAGGATGCCATGGAAGAGGACGACGACGACGAGGATGAGCTCACCGCCTGGATCTCGGACATCGTCTTGACACACAAGCACCACGACCACGTCGGCGGTCTGCCTTCCATCCTCTCGCTCCTGTCGAAACTTCGCGCCGAAGCAACCGTGACGCTCCCGGCACCGCGTATACACAAGCTGCCGGATCCGGAGTCCGATCCGGAGCTCGTCAAGATGCTGCACGGCCTGCCCAAGGGCTCCTTCATCCCCTGCTCGGATTCCGGCGATGCAGCCTCGCCGCTTTGGCCGCTCCAAGAGGGATCCGTCATCCAAGTGGCTGGTGCCAGCGACCGGTCGTCTCTGCGCGTCTTGCATACGCCCGGGCATACCGCCGATCACATCTGCTTGGTGCTCAACGAGGAGAAGACGCTGCTCACGGGCGACCACGTTCTTGGCCAGGGCACCACCGTATTCGAGGATCTCACCGCCTACATGTCGAGCTTGCGCAAGTGCTCCCGTGCGCTCGAGGAGCTCGGACCCTCTTTGCCCACCCACGAAGGGACGAGCACGGCTGCAGCGGAGAATCGTCTGTACCCAGCGCACGGTCCCGTCGTCGAGGAAGGCCGCAAGATGCTCAAACAGTACCTGGATCACCGTCTTGAGCGCGAGGCACAGGTGGTCGAGTTGCTCAAAGCCTCGCCTGACGGTAACGCCATCACAACCTCTTCTGTCACGGTGGGTGGGACAGAGTACCAGCTGGGTGCGCCATGGAAGATCCGACAGATGGTGCTCAAGCTTTACTCGAACTATCCGGAGAACCTGTTCCCCGCCGCTGCGCGCGGGCTCTATCTGCACCTGCGCACGCTCTCTTCGCCGGACCCCGAGCAAGGCAAGGCTTCGCGCGTGCGGTGTCTCCAGACCACCTCCTTCGCTCGCAGGGCCTCGGCAGAAGCAGCAGCCGACGTCGGCAACTGCCCGCCCTTGCCTCAGACAGACCATGAGTGGATCGAAGCCATGGAGCTCGAGTGGGCCCTCATCGCGCCTCAGCAGGCGACATCCAATCACCAACACTTGTAACGCACGAATATACCACCTATCAATGCTACTGTGCGATCAAAACGTTCTCGTCATGTGTTGTTGCGGCCCGCCGTGTGGCGGAAGGAAGAAGCCGGGGCGGAGGTTGAATCGATCAGCTGCCCATAGCGTGTACATGTGTGGGCACGGCACGCTCCCAAGGCTTGGCGTGCATCGTCCGGCACGGCATTTTTTCCAGATTTGTTACATCGTTCGGCTGGCAGGCAAGGGTCCACGGGTCGGGAGTCGGGTAGGCATCCAACGCGGTGCCACGTTTCGTTCACAGTGGCTGCCACCATCTTAGCCGTTCTACCCAACCTTTCTCGACCTTGACGCAGAGTACGGCCGCGTCGGAGGGAGTGCAACATGGTGTCGAGGTTCTTTCAGCTCGTGTTGCTGGCCGGAATGATCCTGCTGATTCCGTCGTTCCTCTACCTCTCGCATCCAGCACAACCAGTGCTGATCGATCCGCAGACAGGCTTGGCCTACTCGTCCGATTCGATTCTTCAGTCCGCACAGGGCGGCACGAACCCACTCGCACAGGTATCGCAGGGGAATGGCGCAGAACAGGCTCATCTGTGGAATGGCTGGAACTGGCACGATGCAACCGCCAACGTGGGGAGCGGGGTGCACAAGGTCGAAGATCAGGTCAAGGGATTCATCGACCACTGGAAACCGACCGCGTCATCTTCCACCACCAAGCAGGACAGCACAAGCGGCGGCCAGGATGCAAAAACCAACCCAGCGATATCTCCTGCCACAGGTGCGGGTAAGGACACGGAGCGCGTCGAGGGAGTGATCATGCCCAAGATGGGTAACGCCACAGCCAAGGCAGCGCTGGGCAGGTCGACGTGGCACTTCCTGCACACCATGACGCTACGTTTCCCGGACCAACCAACGAAGCTAGAGTCCGAAACACTGCGCACATTCTTCCTCAACTTTGCCCAGCTGTATCCGTGCGGAGAGTGCGCACATCACTTCCAGCAGCTGCTCAAGGAGCTTCCGCCCCAAGTGGGCTCGCGCAAATCCGCAAGTCTCTGGCTCTGCGCACTCCACAACGAAGTCAACAAAAGCCTGGGCAAAGACGAATTCCCGTGCGACCAGCTCGACAGCACCTACGATTGCGGATGCGGCGACGATCCAAACGCAGCAAAGAACGCAACTTCAACGGCTCCACCACAGCCTGCAACAACTCAAAATGTCACCCCGTTTTCGTAGTCGATCGATTACGTTCGACTCCCCGCCGACCGCATGGACACGGACCCTCTCGCACTGCAATGATACCACTCGTAGCCGAAAAACGTTGGACTGTGTGTGACACCTCGAAACGTTCCCACGGAGACTGTGTATGAGCTTCCTCTGACACTGAGTTTCGTCTGAGGATCTGCGGCATTCCGCATCAGATACTGCGCAGTCTATGTGTCACACAGCTCAGTCTTTTCCGATGTGATTTCCGATGTGATTCTGAAAGCCTCCAGTCAGAAGATCACACGGTAATTGTCGTTCGATGTTTTGCATTGCCGCGAGCGTGCGGAGCGGATACCAGACCCGCTCCTCACAGCTCGACTGCTTCCCGCACCGAACGGTCTGGAGTCTGCAACTTCCAAAGAGTGCAGCGACTTCCAAAGCAGCGAAGGAGATGAGGAGAACGAAGTACAGTGTGACGAGGGTGACAGGTTGCGATGGAACACAAAAGTCGGAGATTGCGACAAAGCCAGTGGCCCCGGCCAAGCATCATCAAGATGGAGGGGAGACCCGCTGACTCGCGCACTTCAGCGGGATGCGCCCGCGCATACCCGCTTGGCATTAGCCTTTACTTTCGGACGGGAGTGAGGCTGCGGCGCTGGTTCTTGCCCGTCGCCTGCTCGACAGAAGCCAGATAGGTCTTGCCCGTCTGGCTGAGACTCTGACCAGCCTGGTTCGGTGTTAGGTCGCCGTAAGGTCCATTGTTGGCGTCCGAAATCGAATATGCTGCGACGCGTTCATCGTTCTCGAAAAGATCCACCATCTGCTTAACTATAGAATCGACCGTAGCCTGGTCCGCATATTTCGGCGATGGTCCCTGGTACTGTTGAGGAGAAAAGACGAGCGAGTCAGTCAACGTGTCGCAATGCTGTGATAGCTAGATATGGATACCTGCCGAGATCACCGCCCATTCGGTTATCCACATCGGCTTTCCATACTGGGCGAAATGATCGAGGACGCCCTTGACGCCGTCCATGTTGTCCTGGAAGATGTGGACGGCGATGATGTCGGGCTGGGTCTTGATGGCCTTGAGGAAAGGTGCAAGCCAAGTCTCGTCCTTCTGCATGGCCATGCTGGGCGAGATGAGCTTGGCGCCGGCGTGGGCGTGAGGGGCGATCCACTGCTCCCAAGCGGCGGCGGCATCGGCGACGGGGATCACGCCGGACGAGCCGCTGCCGGAGAAATCAGGCTCGTTGAAGCCCATGACGAAGGGGGCGGAGCCTGGCTTGAGCTTCTTGAAGGCTTCGAAGCGAGCCCAGTCGTCGTCGTGGTCGACACGGCCCAGACCCCAGAGCATGGGCACGGCGAGGATGTCGCCACGGTTCGGGTTGTCCGGGTTGGGGGTCCAGTCGTAGTACCATCCGAGCGACTTGGCAGTCCACTTGAGCGAGTTGCCGCCAGCGACACCCGCTTTGCCAAGGGGAGGAGAGAATCCAGAGATGGAGATACCGGACGAAGACGAAGACGAAGAGGACGAAGAGGATGAGGACGACGAAGAAGAGGACGAGCCCGAGCCCGAGTCCGACGACGACGAAGAGCCGGAGTTGGAGTTGGAGCTCGAGCTGGAGCCAGAGGAGCCGGATCCCGAGCCGGAGCTGGAGCCAGACGAAGCGGAGGAGCCCGACGACGAGTTGGACGACGAGCCAGAGGGCGAGGTAGCCTCGGACTGAGAGCCGGACTGGGCACCACTGGCGGCAGAGGACGAGGAGTGGTGGTTGGCCTTGTGGTGTTTGTGGTGGTGCTTCTGGTGCTTGACGCGGCACTGCTTCTTGGCGTCGACAGAGTCGGCGTTGCTCAAGAAGAGAGCGAGCACCAGAACGGCGAGGAGGATGAGCTTGTGGTTGAGAACGAGCATGTTGATTGACGCGAGAGGGGGGGCTTTGGTCAAGAGAGTGAGCAGAGAGATGGTGGAGTGGTGATGCTACAGTAGTCGGTGGGAACGATGCTGAACGATGGTGATGTCTGTCAAAGACTTTGAACTACCGAGGAGCCGAGGGGAAGGAAAGCTGGACGAGGAGAAGCGGGTCGATGCTATCAAAGCAACGCGAGGGGAGACGCTGGCAGGGGGGAGGGGAGAGTGGTCGGAAGAGGATGGAGAGGGGGAGGAGGAAAGGGCAGAACTCAAGGTTTGAAGTACTGGAGGTCAGGGAGCGGAAAGATTGCGCTCGGCGTCGCCTTCGGAAGGCTCGGTGAGTGCGCACCAGGCCGAGCGCTTCGGGCTCTTGCTCCCTTCCGCAGAGCAAAGTTACAGTCTCGGCAGCTTACTCTGTATGAGCCTGTTCTCACGCAGAACATCTGTCGCATCTGTGATCACACCTTTGACAAAACGCTCGCTGTCGCATTCGACGATCACAGCACCCTCTTCCCCTCTTTCCCTCTCTCAGAGCGTGCAAAGGGTAAGGGGATCATCTGCGGCTCAACGCGCTGGCAACGTCTAGGCGGCAGCGCCCTGCAACGGACCGGCAGAACGGCAACACTGCAGCGCTCCAGGAACTTGAGAAACCGTGTTCCTCGTCTCGGTTGTCGAGATCATGCAGCACAACAGGCTTAGCTGCAGTTCTTGCAGCGAAGATGGGACCACCGCATCAAGAGGGCGTCGGAAGTGCCGGCTGCTGTCTTCCCTGCGCGACGACCCACCCGTCCTTGCATCGAGATCACTCAATCACGTCGCTCACTCTGTCTGATCCGCTGCGACGCGGAAGCGCTGCTGTGCAAAGGAGCTTCAAGCGGCCGGACGGAGGAGCCGAGGATCTGCACCTCTCGGCCTGCGAAATTGCTCCTGCCTCGCTGGCAAGACGCGCAGAGAGAACAAAGCTTTGAGTCGGCTGCCAACGCGCTCGTTTTTCAAGCTCCGACGCCGACGGCTCCAACATGAAATGCGCACTTTCGATCCAACTAAGCACTTTGCACAGCGACCTTGCATTCGAGGGGCGTTGCCATGGCCGGCGGTGCACCCGGCTGGACCAGCTGACACAGCTCGCTGCCGCCACAGTCAAGCAAGCGGTGTGGCGAAGAGGGTTTGATCGACAGTGTCTCAGTAAGCCACGTCGATCCTGGTTTCCCTTGTCAGCAGCGCCTGCGAGTGTTCCTTCTTCGATGCGGGCCGGCTAAGTTTAACGCTACCCTTGATGTGTTGTCGCTGCGCAGTCCGCGCATTCGAGGCTTGCAACCCTCAAAATTCCATCTGAGCTGCAGCTCTGTCTTCGGATGCTACGCCGTGTGTTCCTGCGCCGGGCGCGCCATTTCTTGGCTTGCAGTGCTCACGCCTCAATCACACGCTCTGCACAGTCACAATCTCCCAACACGTCGTCTTTCTTGAACGCTTTCATTTCCTGGTCCCGATATCGGGCTACATCGGCCATGATCATCGGACAGGCTCTCTGCTGGTGAGCTCATTTGCGGAAGGCCTCGCATACGACCCAGTTGTCGTAGATCTGGCCCTTTTCGAGCACCTCTTCGCGTCCACCCATGTCTGCGAGGCGGTCGTGCAGGAAGCCGCAGTGCGGGCCGCCAAACTCGATGGCGGTGAAGCTGCGCTTGAAGTTGCCGCTGTCGGGCTGGCCGCCCTTGCGGTGAGCCTGCTTCATCAGGCCGCCCGACTTGGCCGGATCAGCGGGGTGCTCGGGCTGGCCTTCGGCAGTGTACATCTGCACGCCGACCTGGTTCGAGTAGAAGAGCACCGAGCGGCCGGCAGACTCGGATGTGACGCGCATGCGCTTGGTCGCCTCGGTTGCAATCTGGCCGATCTCGTCCGCCTGAGGAACGGAAGCGTCGGGTCCCCAAACGTAGAAGTCGTCGTAGCCGTTGGCAGGCATGCCATCCGAGATGCGCTTGCCGTCTTTCCTGTCCCAGTGGTGAGAGCCGGGGTTGGAGAAGGTCTCGGGCTCTCCGGTCGTGACGTTCATCTTGCCCGTGGCGAGCATCGCTGGGTCGATGTCGAGATGGTACAGCGGCTTGCCCGGTGGTGGGTACATCTGGATGATCTGTTCGGTCACCGTGCCGTTCTCGGCCTTGCACGCCTGCTCGTTCAAGGCCGACATGTTGAAACCCCAGTGGTGCGTCATGTTGAACGGCGTGGCTTCGACAGAGCCGTCCGATGCGAGGGCGGCACGGTAGCGAATCAACAATTTGCCTGCCGACTTGCCCATCACGCTGTCCGAGCCCGAGCCCGGAACGAGTGCAAGCAGCGTCTCGACACGCAGCTGTCCTGGGAATCCAGAATCGCCGTCGGGCGACTCGATCGCAAAGATCAGGCTGCTCTGCTTGCCCCTCGGGTTGCTCGTCGAAGCATAGCCTGCATCGCTGAAGAATTTGCTGTCCTTGGTGTCGATCGGCTGCCAGTAGCACCTGTCAAACGGACCGTGCTGCACGATGCTGTCGACCTGGTTCTCCTTTTCGCCCTCGGCTCCGCCGTGAAGCACAACACCAGGTCCTCTGTACTCCTCGAGCTGGAGGTGGCCCGAATGGCCGCTGGCCGAAGTGTAGTCGATCTTGCCCACGGGAAGACGGTTGGCAAAGCGGCCGATGATCGGGTTCAGGAACGCTCGGCCTCGAGTCTGATGGTCGCGCGGGTGTTCGGGGCCGCCAATGAAGTCCTCGCCCTCCTCGGTGCCGATCGTGTGAATCGTGAGGCCGTATGGCAGCACGGTCGCCACCAGCTCTGCGCCTTCGGCGCCGAAGACGATGGGCTCAAAAGGATCGAGGGCCATATTTGCTGTGAGTAAACTTGATCTGGTGGTGTTGTTCTGGGTATAGGGAGGAGTCAGGCGCGGTGGAAGAGAAGGCCCGGGCTTATAAGAGAGCGGGATGCCTGGCGGGGTGAAGTGTGCGCACGGTCGTCGGTGACTTTGCCGCCGCGCCAATTGCCTCCACACCGATCGGCCTTTCCCCACTGCTCGCGGCTTTCTTCCAATCCGCAAATATGCAGTGGCGCGACCGGTAATCTCGACGAGATCCCCGGTGTCAGCCCCTACGCGAGTAGACTCGGCACCGGTCAACCCCGAGCACGCCCGGCCATCTCATGCTCGGCAACGTCCTCCGCAGGGTCCGCCTTCCCTCCCCGCATCAGGCCTGCCGCCTTTACTCGACATCTCGTATTGGAATCATAGTTGCGGGGAAGCCGAACAGGCTGCCTCGGATCGAGGCACCCCGCAGTGCCTTTTCGCCCCGCATGGGAGACTTCAGACATTCAGAAGTGAGAGTCCCAATCACAATGAATTTCAGCACAAACACGTGATTAGTGCTGGAACAAGCCGTCGAGCTCCTCCAGCTCTCCCACAGCATAGACACTCTCGACGCCGAGGTCAAAGTTGAAAGTTGCGCCTCTCTTGCTGCCTCGCAGGGCGGTGTCGAGGTTGTCGTCCGCACGAAGGTCGCCATCCACCGCCCAGTCATCTTCTTCCTGCTCGGACTCGCGCGCGTTGCGGGAGAGTGCAGAGGGAGGCGCGTCCTTGCTCGGCGGTTTAGACGCCGACGGAGGCACGGGCACGTCGAGCACCGACGAGATGCCGACCGTGCGGATCTTTTCGCGCATCATCGACACCTGCGAGTTGGACACCTGGCCCGTGTTGGTGAGCACAAAGTCGTTGAACGGGATCTGTCAGGCCGTCCGAGGTGAACAATTCGCGTTAGAGGCAACACGTCGGCGTTAGGAAAGCTCGAGGTATGGAAACGCAGGCCACAACTTACGATCACAGTCTGCCAGTTGGATCCTTTGCTCTCGTCGAGATACAGGCGGTGCTGGAAAAGGTCGCTCGTGACGGGTCCGTCGGTCTGGATGTTGACAAAGAACTTTGGGCCTGGCAGCTCCTTCCTGCCAAGGCCGAGCGCATGAACTGCACGGCTGGTAGCGGGTCCCGAAGGCCCGCTCGCGTGCAGTGCCGCACGCAGGCCGCTACCCGCACCGGCATCTGCATGCTCGCTCTTGTCGGCGCCGGCGATTGGCTTCTTGGCGAGCCTGTTCCTGACGCGGAGCGCGAGGTAGGGGTGCACCGTCGTGTCCCAGCACTGGTTGCCAAAGAGCGTAGGGCGGTTGCGGTTGCGGAAGCCCGCATATCCGCTCTTCTCAATCTTGCCACCACGAGGCACCTGCGATGAGAGCGTGCCGTAGAATCGTCCTCGCGACGACTCGTCCAGCCCCAGCCGACACTGCGACAGACCACCGATATCCGAATCCGAGCCGGTCGCAAAGTTCGACAGGTGCGCCGGCTGCGTCATGGCGTAGATGAGGAGTGCTCCTTGATTCTTCGACGTTGGAGAGATTTCCATGCGCATCACTACAAGACGATCGGGAGGACAGGGTCAGCAAGATGTAGCGTAAAAGACGATTCAACGATCGCGTCTGGCAACGGGAGGATGGAGGGCTTTGGACATACTCTTTGCAGTCTCATCTCGAGCGACCTCGACTGAGCGCTGAAGCGCCTGACCAAAAGCCTTGAGCAGCGACATCGCCAGCAACTTGGTTTAGCTGTCTTGCCGCCGTGGATCGAGGTTAGATGGTGTTGGACGGAGACAGGAACAGGCGAGCTAGCCTTCACCTCGAGACGGACTTGTGGAGGCGAGCTCGTCTTTTTGACTCAGCAGGCCATCCGGTCACGTCCGAGTTCCGAGGCTCATTTTTACAGCTAGAAAAAAGCCGTCTCGGGTTCAGGGTCCATCATCTTCCGCAACTCAAATCCGCAAGGGCACAGTGGTGAATGGCGGTGACTTTTGGAGAGCTATGCTACATGGGAATCTTTGTGGTCCAGGTTGGAATGAAGCTCCACGCTGTTGCCTTGACGATGCACGGTGCTGGAAGATGCCGGAGCGAGGAGGTGTTGGCGCCTAGGGTAAGCCCCCTTGCTGCGCTTGATCACCGTCAGACCCATGAGGTAGGACAGAGCCGCCACCACAACAGCGGCGAGCGCAAGGCTGACCAACGCACCGATAACGCCTGCCACGACAGGAGAGACCTCGTGCTTGCCCGTAGTCGAAGTGACGTCCGAGTACTTTCCGCCGCTTCCGGTTCCGTTGAGCGCGTTGAGTGCCGCGCAGCCGCGTGCCGTGGTCTCGCCGCAGAGGTTGCACCATTCCGCCAAGGTATCGAGCTTGACCGGGTCGTAGTGCTGCAGGAATGTCTCGACAGGCAAGCTTGCCGAGTCGAGCACGTTGTGGGCATCCAAGCTGCCGTTCGGACCGTTGCGGAAGTAGATCTGCATGGTCTTGTCCTGGTGAATCTCAAACACCATGGCAGAGGCGTAGTCGACCAGCTTGCCCTGCAGGTCGAGCATCTGGAAAAGGCTGAAGAGCGAAAAGAAGGGCTTGTACGATGCGGCCAGCACGGACACCTTGAGTGGGTCCGAGGCATTGGCTACGCGACGGATGGAATCGGTGAGTGGATTGAGGATGCCTCGGCCGGCGATGCTTCCGATCGACATGGGATCGGGGCTGCTGAAGAGCCCGGCCTCGTGGTAGTTGGCCCAAAACAAGGCTTGTTGTGCAATGTCGTCGGTGATCATCGGAGCCAAGGTGGCATTGTGGATTCTCTCGACGTTGAGGAAGTCGAAGACGTTCCAGGCGTTGACGAGCGTCTTGGGACGATTGCCGATGAGCGAAGCAGGTAGCGAGTCGTAGAAGTGCTGGGCAAGTTCACTCTTGCTCTTGAAATCGGCGCTGCTGTAGAAGGTGCTGGTCCAATCGTCGAACTTGTCGCAGTCGGTCCAAGGCTCCATGACGAACGACTGGTCTGGCTCGATGGTCTCTACGGGGATGAGTTGGGCGCGGTTGTCCCAAGCGACAGTGGTGCCGTTGGCCAGCTCCAGGGTCTCATTGAAAGGAGGGAAGAGCCCCTGCATGAAAGCATTGGCGCTCTCGACGATCACGCCACCTTCGCCTCCGGCATCTGCCTGCACCGAGATTTGCACATTCTCGGCGACGTTGGTGTTGACGCCCTGGATGACAAGCGGAGAGGCTGTGTCGAGGTAGCGAGTGCGAAGCTGTGCGCCGCTGTTGAGCTCCTGCAGGTAGCCGAGCACGGTGAGGTTGGTCTTGGAGGCGGTGTAGGTGGAGGGCGACTGGTAGAATCCCTGCCTGTCACCGTGTCGAATGAGGACGACGACGCCGGTCACCGGAGACGACATTGTTCGTGCAGTGGGATACGCTCCTCCGTATCGGTTCTCAGCTGGACAGGGAAGGGGATGAGATTGATGTGGCTAGAGGTTGAGAGTGTCCCTCTGGTATCGGCTGGTCATGTCGAAGCTCTTGGAGGCCCCGAACAACCTTGTGAGAGGCTACAGCCGCAGCCGAGGCGGGAAGTGGCCATCTCGGAGATGAGCGAGACTGGATAAGCGCCTGCAGCCGCGGACGGACCAGCGGCCTGAGACGCAGAAGAAGCTTCGTTGCCGCTCCCTTATCGGCAGCCTCAGCGTTCGGCCATTGGTCCGGCTTGTAGCCGAACGGTGGCTGACTCCGCAAGGTCATGTGTCAAAGTCTACAATTTTGTGGGCTCCTAAACTGTCAAAGCTGCAAGAACGCTCACAGCTGCCGCCAGTTGTCAAGCCACGCAGCTTTGCGCAGATGATTTTCTCGATGGAACTCTGTTCGTGGCGGCCTAACAAACGTGAATTTTGAAATTTGGTGTTGCTTTGGAAGGACGACCCGTCGACGTGGTCGACGTGGAACGCGGGACCTTTTTTTGATGGACGCGCGTGGCCGTGCCGGTGCGGAGGCGACTGCATGTCACACACAAGCACTGCTGAGTCTCTTGTGGTCTCTCACGTCTTCCTCCATCGCATTATCCTTGCAGATCCGGCTTGCAAGTGTCGGAAGACAGTAGACACAGTATGGGAGCCGCAAAGGGGACGAAAGAGTCGCTGGCAAACGGAGCCGGCGACGACGCCAAGCTGCGCCAAAGACCCACAGCAGCCATGGCCAACGGCACGCCCTCATCCGAAGCAGTCGAGACCTCCGACCTGCTTGCGACACGGCACGCCTCGATCGCAGAAGCAGACATCAAGGCCAATGATCCAAAGCAACAGGGCGGCGAGGAGGCTTCCGGCTTCATGGACCTCTCGCCGCGCGACCAGCGTGCCATGATTCTTCTCGTCGTGCTTTACCTGCTTCAGGGTGTTCCCGTCGGTCTTGCATTCGGCACCATGCCGTTCCTTCTGAAGACCAAGCTCAGCTACGGCGACATTGGCTTCTTCATGCTCTGCACGTATCCGTACTCGCTCAAGCTCTTCTGGAGCCCCATCGTCGACTCGACCTTCGTCAACGAGCTGCAGCTTCCGTTGATCGGCAAGCTCTCGCTCGGTCGCCGCAAGAGCTGGATCGTGCCCATCCAGACCATCGTCGGCGTCATGTTCTGGTACCTCTCGCGCAACGTCGACCAGCTGCTCCTCGCCGACCTGCCCAACGTCAAGCTCATCACGCTCATCTTCTTCGTGCTCATCCTCTTTGCCGCCACGCAGGACATTGCGGTCGACGGCTGGGCGCTCACGCTGCTCTCGCAGGAGAACCTCTCGTACGCCAGCACGGCCCAGACTGTAGGCCTCAACTCGGGCTACTTCCTCAGCTTCACCGTCTTCCTTGCGTTCAACTCGGTCGAGTTCAGCAACAAGTACTTCCGATCCACACCGCTCGACTATCCGCTCTTGTCGCTGTCGGCCTACATGCGTTTCTGGGCATTTGGCTTCATCGTGGTGACCGCATGGCTGCTCTTCTTCCAGAAGGAAGACGAAGAGGCAGACGATGCTCCCGACATGGACGTCAAGAAGGTCTACTCGATCATGTGGCGCATCTGCCAGCTCAAACACGTCCAGACTTTCATCCTCATCCACTTTGTCGCCAAGATCGGCTTCCAGGCAAACGAGGCAGTCACAGGACTCAAGCTCGTCGAAAAGGGGTTCGGCAAGGAGGACCTCGCGCTGGCGGTGCTCATCGATTTCCCCTTCCAGCTCATCTTTGGCTACCTTGCAGCGAGGTGGAGCAAGGGCGACAAGGCGTTGCAGCCTTGGGTGGTGGCATTCTTCTTCCGCCTCGGATTCGCCGTGCTGTCCATGGCGATCGTCCACGGCATGCCATCGGCACCCATCGGAGCGGGCTACTTCTTCGTGGTCATCGCTAGCACTGTGGCTGGAAGCTTTGCGTCGACGGTGCAGTTTGTCGGCATCTCGGCCTTCCACACGCAGATCGCAGACCCGCTCATTGGCGGCACCTACATGACTCTGCTTAACACCGTGTCCAACCTGGGCGGGACGTGGCCGCGATACTTTGTACTCAAGGCCGTGGATCTATTCACCATCTCGAGCTGCCAGCCGCCGTCGAGCGCGTTGCTTCTCAAGGACGCGGAGATCGCCAAATTGTGGGCGACAGCGTCCAAGGGCATCGGTGGAAAGGAGTGCACCTCGGACCTGGGCAAGGCGGCATGTTCGGCGGCGGGAGGAGAGTGCTACATCGAACGCGACGGATACTATTGGACCTCGACGCTGTGCGTCGTCGTCGGCACGGCGCTGCTGGTCACATTCATCATTCCGGCGTGTCGCAAGCTGCAGGCGCTACCGCCTTCAGCCTGGCGCGTCAACTTGCAGTCGCATCCCAAGTCGCACTGATCGCTTGCACTTTATAAGACTGCTCTTATTTGCATCATCCAGGGAATCAATAGAAAAGCATTCAGACGTATTTCTATCGACTTGTATGTGCATTGTGTCCGTGGTCGAGTCTATAAATGCCGGCAAGCGCTGAGGCTAGAATGGCAAAGATTGGCGTGATTGATTGGCAGCCGAGCGGAAGGCATCCACCTGTTGCGGAGCCGGGCAGTTGGATGCGTTCCTGGTATCCATTGCTTCGGGCAGCCATTTCTCCATGTTCTTGATGCGCTTGCTCGACATGGGATGCGTGGACAGAACCGCTTGTGCGCTGCCTAAGATTCCCTTCCCCCCGTCGCCCTCGGATTCGGTCATGCGTGTCCAGAGCTTGCTCGCCTCGCGCGGGTCGAAGCACGCGCGGCTCATGATGCGCAGTCCGAGGTAGTCGGCCTCGGACTCGGCCGTGCGCGAGTTGGGCAGCTCCATCAGCAGCGTCAGCGCCGTCCTGCTCAGCCCGATGTCCAGGCCGAGCGCATCGAGCAACAGCGAGGCGGCTCCAAGCACCTTGTAGCCCGACATCTTCTCTGCCGAGTGTCGCGCGACTTGGTGGGCCACCTCGTGCCCCAGCACCGTCGCGAGACCGTCGGCATTCTGACAGATGGGCAGGATCCCTGTGAACACAAAGATCTTGCCGCCAGGCAGCACGAATGCGTTCTTCTGCTTGGGATCGTCGATAACGTAGACCTCCCACTGCGTGGCGGGTTTGGCCGCGGGCGCCTCGGACTGGCCACCGAACCAGGAAGCAGAGCCAGAGCCAGACTGGCCGTAGCTGATGCCACCTTCTTGGCCGTGCGAATGGTGCGTGAGGTTCGGATCGCCCTTGGTGTGCATCGGCTGATTGCTGCTGTCCACGGCCTTGTCCAGCGCCGCCACGATGCGACTAGCTACCGCACGCACGTGCTTCGAGTACGGATGCGACGCGGGCAGGACACGATCGCGATACTCTGAGAGGATCTGCTGTAACGATTGTTTGCCCATCTCGTGCTCCTGTTCCGGGCTGACGTCGATGAATCTCCACCTATCCGTCTCGGGGACCTGCTCGAGATGCGTCACGTAGTAGACGCCGCCACCGCCGAGCGCGATCAGAACGAGCACAGGCGGCCGCGAAAGGCGCCATCCTCTGCGTCCTGTTCCACCACCGCCACCTCCACCGCCAAAGCGCTGGTACTGCACAGGCTTTTGTTGCGAGCGAGACTGACCCTGGGCGCCTTGTCCAATGCGGCGAAACAGCTGTTCTTCGAGCTGACGTCGCAGCTGATCACCAGACAGCTGTTCTCGGCCCGCCGACTGCGATGAGGACATGTTTCGCTGCCAGCCGAGGGAGAGAGGCTGTGTTCCATCCTTGAAGCGTCCATATGTTGCTGCCCTGCCGAACGAGCTGTGGAGCAGCCTCGAGGACGTAGCGGCTCGCATGGGTCCTAGAGAGGAGACAGGCAGGATTGAAGCGCCGGCCCGAGTGGCCAGGGAGCGTATCGCCTGTTTCGTTGCGGAAAGCGAAGCCATGCGTAAAGTGGAATGAGTGTCTATGGTAGAAAGGGTGTTCTGATGGTCGTGGATGGGAGAATGGAACGTGCGTGTGGGATGACGCCCAAAGTCACCCGCGGAGGACCCTTTGTTCCGTGCAGCTTAGTTCCGCTTGGAGCTGGGAATATTTCCGACGCCTCAACCTCCACATGCACTTCGAGCTTGCTCCACTCGGCCTTTGCACGGCCGCATCAGTCAGCGCCTCTTCCTAGACTTGGGGCGTAGGTAGCCGCCTCGGCTCCAGCTTCGTCACGCTCCTCCACCACATCGGACATTGTCTTCCATAAAGAAAGACGACCATGGTGACTGCACTTGTATCTGGAGGCAACCGCGGGCTTGGCTACGGCATCGTGCGCCGGCTCGCCAACGAGTTCCCGGCCTCTTCGCTCTACACGTCGCCGTCGGACAAGCTTACAATCTATCTGGGCTCTCGCGACGTCAGCAAGGGTGAAGAGGCGCGCAAGTCGCTCTATGCCGAGCTGGCCAAGGACGTGCTCGATCGCGTCTCGATCGAGGTGCGACAGCTCGACACGTCGTCGCACGACTCGGTGACCAAGCTCGCCGCGGAGCTTCAGCCGGGCATCGACATCCTGGTCAACAACGCCGGCATCGCAATGGACGGCTTTGATGCCAACGTCGCAAAGCAGACGGTCGCCACCAACTACTACGCCGTCAAGGATGTAATCGATCACATCCCCGTGAAGGACGGCGGAAGGATTGTGACGATCGCTTCGTCGACGGGCGTACTACGTGGATTTGGAGACGAGGTGCGCGACCGATTCCGCAACGCCAAGACGGTCGAAGATGTGGACAGGCTCATGGAGGAGTTCCAGCAGGTTGTGGCCGACGGAACGTGGAAGGAGAAGGGCTGGAAGGGAGCCGCATACGCTACGAGCAAGAGCGGCGTGATCGCCTACATCCGTGCACTGGCCGAAGTGTACAAGCAGCAGGGAAAGCGGGTCGACGTCTTCTCCTGCTGTCCAGGCTGTAAGTATCGCCTCTTCCGATCTCGGCTAGCGACCTGCTTCGTTGTTCTGACCAAAGCTCGCATAATTCTTTCTTCACCGACGCAGATGTCAACACCGACATGACCAAAGGCAAGGGCCACAAAACGCTGGATCAGGGTGCCGAGACGCCCGTGCTGCTCGCCCTGCACAAGACCGATGCCAAGCCAGGCGAGTTCTGGTTCGAGAAGAAGGCGTACGACTGGGAGCTCAGGCAGAGCAACTAACCTATAGAATCAAACCATGCGATGCACGAATGTCGTTGCAATTGCAAAAAGCACTGAGGATCATTGATCGAAGCCGCTCAAGTCGCCGTGGGCAACAAAGGGTAAAGTGGCGGCGAGCCGCGTGTGCGATTGTTGCAAGTGTCGGGGGAGGTCGGGCCGTTGAAGTTGCGACCGGAGCTTGTGGGCGTACTGGACGAGGTCGTCTCGGTCGCCGTCGTCGCTGGATTCAGATGATGAGAGTGCCTCCCGATTGGGCGCAGAATCTGCGAGGCTGCCGACGATGCCTTTGGGGAGGTTCTTGGGTGGACGGAACCCGAGACACACAAGGAAGTGCTCTACACTGCCGAGGCGCGAGCTTCTTGGCTTGGCAATGTCGACCTGATCAAAGAAGGTGCGGAGCTGCTGCGCGAGCAATGCGCCTGATGTCGCTGGGCGTGCTCCCTTGAGGTCCATGTTGCCGAGCGATGCACCGAGACCAGCTTGGGGATGCTGCGTGAAGATCTTGGCGACAAAGGTGCCGCCCTCTTCGAGAATACGGAATGTGATCTGCGTAGCTGCGAGGAGGAGCTGGGACTGCAGGTATTCGTCGAGGTCGTGCAGGCCGGTGACGTCGGGAGCGCCGTCGCAGACGATGAGTTGAGCGCGAGCCTTGCCCTTGCCCTTCACATCGGTGCCGGTGGCGTCGGGACCGTCTGAGAGCGCACGACTCACAGCATCGGCGGTGGCAGGTGTAGTGATGTCGCCGATGATTTGTGTGACACCCGGCAAGGGAGCCATGGCCTGAAGGTCGACCGCCACGAGGTGCGAATCGGGCACCGAGGCAAGGCGTCGGGAGAGCACTTGCGACCACGAGCCGGGAGCAGCACACAGGTCAACTACGCGTGTCGGCGTTGGAAAGCGCCGCGCAGAGGATGCGGATCCAGTCGCTCTTGGAGCTGAGTCGGAAGTCGAAGTAGTCGGGTCGGCCGCATCGAGCGCATATTCGTCCGCACCACCGAGGAAGCCGTACTGCTCGTTGAGATGCAGGAGCTTGTAGGCCGATCGTGCTCGGTAGCCTTCCGATTTGCCCTGGCGGTAGTAGATGTCGCGCTTGTCTTTGGTGGATTTACCCATCTCTGCGGATTGAAGAAAGCAAGGCCGATGCGGTGATGGTGTGAGTAGAGAAAAAGTTGAAGCTGCGGGCGCGTGGAAGAACTCGAAGTCCGGAACCCGGGACCGCCTCCACTCAGCAGCTGCTCTGCAGAGGGAAATTTGTCGAAGCGACTCTGGAAATTTTGCTACCGCTCGACTTGGCCACCTTGACCCACCATCCGCGACGTTTGCATCCAGCCCACGGCGTGCAGTAGAGACAGCATGGCGCCTCCAAAGCTATCCAAGAAGCAGCTTGTCAAGCACCGCACATCCGCCACGCCCTCGAATGGCAAGAAGACCGGCGGCTTCCAAGTGGGGCCCAAGCATCTTCCGGACGGCGCCTACCTGGGCAAGCACAAGCGCATCAAGGCCGAGCTCATCCACAAGGCCAAGGTGAAGAAGGAGTACTACAAGCAGCTGAAGCAAGACAAGGTGAAGCCCGGTAGCAGCGGCACCGACGCAAATGCAGCCCCATTAGGCGAGCGCGGCAGTGCAGCCGGAAGTGCCGAGCTCGAGTCGGCTCTTCCGTTCAGCTTGCCCAAAGATCAGGGTCGGTTTGCCCCTGAAAATGGCGACGACGACGCGCAGCAATCGGATCTGGCACTATTCGGAGCCAAGCAGGACTTGAGGCCGAAAAGGGCGCCACAGGGCAAGGGCAAGAAGCCTCTGCCGCATCCACTGCCCAAGCCAGCTGCGCGTAGGGACGATGAGGAGAGGGTCAGAGACACGCGCACCAAGGAGGAGAAGGAGCAGGAGCGACTCAAGCAGAACAAGCTCTGGAACAAGCCGAGCGGCAGCCGCACCGGACAGGCGAGGGGCCAGCCCAACTTGAGCGCTAGGATGGACGTCATGCTCGACAAGATCCGCAAGTCCACTTCTTAGAATCCTGCCGCATCGGTGGCAAAGCACCGCACTCATTAGATACCCCATGGGCCGATGTCCACTTCAATTCATGCCTTTTTTTTTCAGATGCACCCATGACTTGTGTCTATGTGTCTCTTCCGTTTCAGCGGCATCGGATTCTGGTGCAAGTCGCGCCTAGCGCAAGGCCCACCTGTGAGAAACGAGGAACCAGAGTGTCAGCTGTCCTGCTTCTCGCCGCAAATGCAGAGGGTGTTCAGAAAATACTCACATTTTGACGACAAAGAGCTCGGCGGGCATGCCTGCCTGCACTTCGCACTTGACGATCTCGAGGCCAGCCTCGGTGAAGACGCGCTCGTACGCTTTGGTGGAGCGCGTGATGCTGTGGTCCTCGTCGTCGTACCATACGCGTTCCGTACCATCGGCTTCTTCCGTGCAGACGTTTTCCTTGATACCAATGATGCCTCCCTCTTTGAGTGCTGCCTTGGAACGTTGGAGAAAGGCTATCAAGTCCTTGTCCGAAAGATGCTGCAGACACCACTGAGCCCAGACCAAGTCGTACGTCACTGGCTCATCTTGCGAGCCGGCCACGCCGCCTTTCTGCTCGGCTGTTGTTTCCGACGCATCCTTCGATGGTGCTGCTTCGTCGTCGATCGATACGGTAGGAGGGATGGTGTCGCCATCCACAGGCGCGGCAGAGAAGTAAGGTTTGCTGGGCTCGATGTCTTGGAGGGTGGCGCAGTGGAAGTGGACCGCCTTGCGCGCCTGGAACGGCGAGCTGCTTGGCGGCGTCTTGATGGGGGCCCATGATGCAGACTGCTTCTTTGCCTCGAGAAGGAACTTGGCGACGGGCTCGACCATGTGCACCTCGTCGAAGATGGGCAGCAGGCTGTGCTCGGTCACTCTGCCGACGCCGGCGCCGCAATCGAGCGCACGTGTGCAGGCGCGGCCCTTGCCACCACGTTCTGCAATGCGGTCTCGCTTCCACTGGAAAGAAGACACGTTGGACGAGGCAGGTGCACAGAAGGAGAGGTGTGGAAGAAGGCCCAGAAGGAACGAGCGCGAGCCCAGCGATTCGACGCGAGAGACATGGCCAAAGCCGCCCAGCACACCGTCGACGCTCGCTTCAACACCCTCCCAGTACTGCACGCCACGCTTGACGTCGGGATTCGGGTGGACGATTCGGATCGCCGACATTATTGCAGATCAGGACGACGGCTTGCGCAGATGTGGCCGAGATGGAGGGGGAAGAAGGGTGCGAGCAGGAGGATCGAGTACTTCAGGGTCCTGCCCTCGAAAAAGCGCTCAATTCGGTTCCGCCGAGAGATCTTTTCGAAGAAAAAGAATTGTTGAAAAATGCGAACCTAAAAAGATGCACAAAAAGACACCGAAAATTGATGAGCTGAGCCGGCGACTCGGAGCAGCTCCGGCCGACGATAAAGCTCAGCCGTCACGCGCAAATCAGCCCAGGCTTCGGTGCAGGGTTCGCTGCAGCTGCCCGCAAAGAGCCGTGAGTGGCGTGTTGTGAGCTCTAAGCGCTGCTTTGCTTCCCCGCGTGCTGCTCAGCGCAAATCACACGAGGCTCTGCTGAGACCCTGGCTGGGCACGCTCCGCTACGGCACCTCAGGCCAGCACGCCTTGTCCCTTTAGTACAGCTAAGCGAGATAGCCGCCCTGAGTCGACAGGCACAGGCCGTCTCGCCACTGCGGCCTGCTGCAGCTTGGATTCGTCGGCCATCTTTGCCTGCACGCTCACTGATTCGTGTGTTGCCACTTGGTTTGGCAATCCGCACCACCACCATCATTGCTCGGGCCAACCGAAGATCATATCGGCTCTCCGAACCTCAGAGATTTCAGACACAAATCATGACGGCTCAACCGACGCCGCCGCTGAGCAACGGCTCGTCGTCGGCATCGCCCGACTCGACACCATCCCATCCTTCTCCGCCGGCGTCGCAGCTGCCCGACTATGCCGTAGCCGTGGGCGCCGCTTCGGCCGCCTCCGCATCCTCCCCTCCTGGTGAGGTCGATCAGATCGCCCGCACGCTCACCAACGCCTCGCTCAAGATCTGCGACGGGCCCGGCTTGTCTCCCGCCGAGCGCAAAGAGCTCGACAAGGCCCTCAAGGAAGGCGTCAAGATCGGCTTGAACACCATGCCTCAGCAGCTCATCCAGATCGACGAGATCAAGCAGCATCTCAGACTCATCGATCTCTTCGATCGCCTTCGACAGGCTGTGCACGACGGCACCGAGTACTTTGACTATCCCACCTGCCATCACGATCAAGGCCACATCGACGTGCCCGGCATCGACGCCCCTCCTCCTCCCTACGCTCCCACCGCAGAGCCGCCTCCCATCACCAACTCCAAGTCTGGCCACCAACCCACCAAGAAGGAAGCCGACCAGGCCGCCGCTGAGCTGAGCCTCCAGCTCACCCGCGAGCGTCGCTGGGGCATCTACCTCAACCGCGCTGCCTATCGCCTCGAGCTTTGGCTCACTTTCATCCTCACCTCAGACCGCCTCACGGCGCACCTTCGGCTGGAGCAAGACGCCGACAAAGACAAGGCGCTCGGCCGCACTCACGGATTCGAGCTCCCCACCTGGGCTCTTCCGCCCGTCGATGTCGCACTCATGCTCCACTCCTACCACCTCAACCCCCTCACAAAGACCGAGGACACCGAGCGCATGCGTACACGTCGCCTCCTAGCCTTTTACAACTTCCCTTTGAAACAGCTCGCCGAGCGAATTCACGAGACCCTCCCCATCTTCAACAACGTCGAAGACGCGCAGTACTTCTGGGACGATCGCATCACGCGCCAACGTTCCAAGCAGCCGTGGGACCTCAGTCTCCAGCCTCCCCCCGGTCATCCTACAAATGCTCAGGAATCCAACGGCGGCACCATCTTTGGCCTTCGGATCAACTGTCCGCGTTGCAGCGTGCCTCAGTACATCCCCTGGACCGGCGTCGGCAAGGAGCCCCATGAACTCGGCATTGGCGAGCTCGGCTGGCAGCGCAACTGCGCAGACACCTCCAATTGCGAGCAGCCCGTATCCGCCGAGCACCTCCAGATGCGCCGTTTCCTCGACGACTTCCGCAAGTGGCGCGTCTCTCCCGGTCGACCCTCTGCGGCCGCCAGAGACCAGAAGGTCTTCTTCATGGCCGGCACCATGCTTGCATCCATGAATGCGCAGCGATCCGCCAGAGACTATATGGGCGACTCGCTCTTCGTTCCCATCTTCAAGCACGAGAAGCCCAACGAGGCGTCCAAGTACATGGATCGTCGCGTGGCACCTAATGCAGAGCTGCAGGAGATCGAGCACGTCGCAGTGCAGTGCGACTACAACCTCAGTGTCTTCCGCAACTGGCTCGAGGAACGCTGGACGAGCGCAGCCATCCAGCCTCGCCTAAAGCTGCCCGAAGAAAAGGCTCAGCAGATGGCGCGCATCGCTATCCTCATGCGGCCTTACCAGAACGGAAACGCTGCTGCCTACGGCGAGGGCCTCTGCGACCTCGTCGACGCCGTCAAGCGTCAGTCCTTTTTCAACACCGAGATGGGCAATCTCGGCTGGTCCAAGCATCCCAAGCTGCTCGAGCGTGGCGATCTAGACGACGTGCTCTCGCGCAGCCTCATCCGTTATCATCGCTTCCTCGGCCTCATGGCGACCACTTACAATCTGCTCACGCCTACGCTCGATATCGACCTCGCTTGGCATACGCACCAGCTCCGTGCGCGCTATTACGACCACTGTCAGATGCTCGTCGGTCGCTTCATCAATCACGACGACGCCATCGAGACGGGCATCCTGAAGGATGCCTTTGATCGCACCGCTCAGCTCTGGAAGAGCAAATACGGTCAGCCTTACTCGATGTGTGGCTGCGTCTACAACAACCCTGGCACCATCAAGAAACTCAAGGCGCTCATGGGCAGTGGCGCAGATGCGACCGAGCCGGGTCAGGAGGCAGTCCAGTCCGGCAAGGGCTCCAGCTTCACCTCACGAATGAAGGGCAAGTGGAGGGCTGCCAAGGAGCTGCCAGGCGACAAGCAGGATGACGCAGTGCAGTGGCAGGACGCCACACATCCGAGTGCCCACCAGGCTGTGATCGTCAAAGAGGAAGAGCACAGACACGACAAGCTCCGCGAGGAGATGGTCCGCGAGTGGGCTCAGGGCAAGCGCCGCGAGGGACATGAGAGCGCGTTTGTGTATGTACCCCACTTCCCCTTCCCCACCGCCCGCAAACCACCGATCTTGTTCGTGACGAAGACCCTGGCTGACCCCACCCCACTCTTCCTTGAATCACCTTTTGATCTCACGCAGCTTCGGCTACAACACGCCGGGCCTCTACCCTTTCTACTACAGCCCGCTCTATAGCACTCACTATGTCAGCAGAGGATCGACTGGCGATTCGACGCTCAACGCCTACAGCCTGTATGGAGTATATGGCATGATGGCTGTCAGCGGCTTCGGCATGGGTGCCGGTGTCACTATGGGCGCCGGATGCGGTGGCGGAGTCGCTGGCTGCGGAGGCGGCGGTGGATGCGGCGGCGGCGGCGGCTCTTGATCATCGCGCCGTTCTACCCATCGAGCCTGTTCTTGACCACCTTGGTGTGGGTTCAGACAACCTTGCAATGTACTTGTGATACCCACGTGGGCACGCGAGCTTGTCTGTGCGGATAAGCGTTCGAAGCGCGCAAACACTTGAGCATTTCCTCCGAGCCCCGCTTCTGAGCTTCGCCATTGAACTACGCGGTGATCGGTGGCGGATCCCTACGTCCTTCATAAACGCATCTATTCACCGCGCACAGCCATCTGGCGGCTGCTGATGCCATTTTGCCCACCGCTACGTGCAATCTCGAGCACCACGCCCCACATTTTAGCATTCGAGATGGTCGTGAGTAGACGCGCTTGTTTTTACCTCCGACGGGAGCGACCCCGGGGGAGTGGGACGTTCGCACGGCCCCTTCGATGGCGTTTCTTCATCGTTGCAACATCATCACGAAAAGCATGTCTTAATATCGCGCTCGTCGTTGTCGCGGACAAGCGGCTTTTATCGCGCTCGGTTCGCTCGACGCCCAGGGCTCATGTATTTGGCACCACCAACCCTCGACTGCGCAAATCCACTCAGGAGTGGGGCGAGATGAGATCGTAGAACCCACTTCACATTGCGCATCGATGTCGACGATGCGAATCCCACCTCGTCAGCTGGTAACACGAGATGAAGTGCCTCGCCCGCCCACCGGGTGTCACTTGCAGCGGCGGGACCTTCAGACAGCCACAGGCAACGAGGGCCATGCCGCTTCACGCCACCAGCGCCTCTCCACGACGATTTCTGTACTCATCGATCAGGTACTTAAGACCAGCCGTTTGAGCTCAACTCTCTTCTTCGCTCCCTCACCCTTCTCTCCACATCCCTTCTTACCCATAATTCCTTTCCTCAGTACCCCAATCGCTACCACCACCACCCCTATAACCCATACGACATTCAAGATGAAGTTCGCTTTCGCTGCTCTTGTCGTTGCCGCCGCTGCGCTGCTCCCCGCCGCGGAGGCCATGGACATCTCGTTCTCGGCTGACAAGTTTGCTCGTCGCGCCGACACCAAGGCCACCGACGCCAAGGATGCCAAGGCTGCTCCGGCTCCTGTCGCCGCTGCTCCCAAGCAGAGGGTGCCCGAGTTCGGCATTGACCTCGTGAACGTCTACACCAAGCACAACGGCAGGGGCATGCCCGTGCCTCACGATGTTGCCTACACCTACAACGATTGCATGTGGAAGCAGTGCAAGGAGGACGGCAAGTGGGCTTGGCTCGACAAGCAAGACGTTCAGTGCTACCTCAGCCCCTCGTACAAGTTCCACGCCTACTCGGCTGCCAAGAACTTCGACCCCGAGCCCAGCATCGAACGTGGTGCCTGTGTCGACACTGCCAACCCGGTGGACTTCCCCTCCGGCATTCCCGAGTACACCATCAGCGTTCCCTACCTCTACTTCAACAACCTCTTTGACCGTCGCTGCAAGGTTCGCGCGCTCGTCAACGTGCCCGAGAATGGCGACCAGCCCCAGCACTGGGTTTCCGCCTGGGTCATCGAGCACAACGGTGGCAACTGGAACACCACCGGCGACACTGGCGTCAACGGCCCTCAGTCGGGTATCCTCCTCGACACTGAGCTCTACAAGAAGTTCGTCCCCAAGGGCGAGGCTCTGCCCCCCGTCCTGTCCAAGAATGTCGAGTGGTTCTTCACCGACATCAACACCCACATGTAAGCGCGTCAACATGCGTAGCATCGAGCCCAGCACCGTGCTCTTTCTCCTCCTGCACTGTTCCGCTCTGCTCTTCTTTCCGAGGCAGCACGCGATCGCTGCCGAGTGCTTCAATCTCGCTCCCCTCGCCGCTTTCATTTCTGCAGCAGTCTCGACTCATCCACGCTCACGTCCCTCCCCCTTGGCGTGATGACTCTGTTCGCGTTCACGTCCTCAATGTCACATTGCTTTCTTCTCTTTCCTCGTTGTGCATCAGAGCGTGTTCTCGTGCCGCACTACGATGCAGTTTCAGGCACGTTCCTGAGGCGGAGAAGATTGCAAGGTTCGTACCAGAGGGATGACTAGAATACAAGTAAACTTATGGCGGCGGTGGTGATCGGGTTTTGGGTGGCCCTACTGGCATAGGATGCATCCTCGAGGCGAGATTGGACAAGCCCGGCCTTGATCGTTGGCCGAGAGTCCAGACTCAGATCTCGAGCTTCATAAACTCGTTCCGTGCAGCGGACGAGTTCTTGCCCATGATCTCGAGGTAGTTGTACAGGCACGACTGGCGGTTGTCGTCAAAGGTGAAGGACGATTCGTGGGCGCAGTAGCACCTGCTCCTGCCGAGGTATGGCGAGATGGCGGATTCCTTGGCCACTTTGGGACAGTGCATGATGGGCGAGTGGAAGTAGCCGACGTTGTCAAAGTAGTGAAAGTCGGACTTGTCGAGCAGCAGCGCCGCGCCGATCGAGTGCACGGGCGCATCACCCCAGCGTTCGTAGAAGAAGCCGCCTGCCTGGTCGAGGTGCTTGAAGAAGGAAAGGTAGGCGTCCGAGCGGAAGAAGTCCATGTCGGCGATCTCGAAATTCGACCAGAAGTGGCACTGACGGAGGCGATACAAAGGCGACGAAATCGGTCAGTGTATGCCGCATGCTAGCGAGAATAGACGCGGTGGAGCGGCGAACATACCTTGTTGTAGCCGCGGCCGTTGTTTTCGGTGACAAAGCCAAAGAGATTGTTGGGCGCTAGCAGCTCTGCGTTCTTTTCGTACCATTCGCGCACGCGGATCCAGAGGGATGGCACCGTGCCGGGGATCTCGTGCATGGAGAGCACGAATCCGTACTTTTTGTTGTTCTGCTGCATGAACCTGAACGGATCGAAGTCGGTGAGATCGCAGAAGAACTTGACGTTGGGCTCGACCCTCCAGTAGTACTTGTACTTGAGCACCAGAGGATGCCTGAAAAAGTAGCCGGACTGGAACCTGCACATCTGTCGATACGACTGCGAGCCACCGTAGGGCATGCCCCTGGACGCGGCTCTGTCCCACGCCTTGCGCGCCCTGACCATGTCGATCTCTGGTGGGATGTCCCACATTTCGGGCGGCACTTGGCCGAACTCGACGCTCGACGACACGGCCCGCGTGATGCGAAGCTTGAAGTTATCCGAGAACGGCTTGTCGTTGAGGAATACGTAGGGATAGCGGTGATGCGGCCTGTCGTTGAAGGTAGACTCGAGATGCTGGAGGCTGCTGAGGATCTCGTTGATCTCGCCCTCGCGACACAGCACCACAAACGAGGCGTTGGCCTTGGGCGTGGCTTCGAAGCCGAGGCCTGCCGTCTGAGCCGCTTGCTGGGCATCATGCAGACTCGCATTATTGTTCCATGAGGAGCGCAACGTGTCCACCTGCTGCTGATACGAGACGGAAGTATAGCTCGCCAGGTAGTGGAGCGAAAGGATCGACACGAACGCCAGGGCGATGTAGCGCAGCGTCAGGTTCATATTGGTACAGGTGCTGCGACCATGAGGCTGTCGTTGAGCGAAGCTGTTCGAGGCAGGCGGTGACGATTGGCCTCTTCCTGAACAGAGACGAGATTGGTATAGATGCAGCTTAGTCGAGCATAAAGGTTAAAGCATCGTCGTGATGACAGCCGGGGTCCGCGGTCCCAGCGTTGTGGTTCTGCGGGTTCGAGCCGCTCATAAAGCCAAGCTGGAAGAACGCGCGCGCGTCGTGCTGCATGCAGGGTTGTTGGCTTTTGCATGGATCCCACTTTGCACCACGCTTGCAGCCCTTCAGGGTTCAGCCGTTGATGTGCACCATTGTTGTCTCGGCGTAAAACCGACGCGAAAGGCAGTTTGGCGACCGGAGACAGGCGGACGAACCCGACTTTCGACATTTTTGCGGGGAGTTCCCAATGTTAGGTTGAGTGTCTAAATTACGCACGGCCGAGAAAGAGCGCAATTTGTTCGCTCTCGACCGGGTATCGTGGCCTCTGCTCGGCCCGGCCTGAGCCTGCCGCCCCAGTCTCTGGCAGAGGTCAGATTCGGCTCGACCGGCTTCCACCCCGCATCACGGAAGAAATGCCCCGGAGCAGATCCTACTTATACAAGGCACCACCAACACCGTCAGCAGCCCCGCACACCGTCCTCTCCGCCTTCACGAAAGTCTGCATATCTTCAACATGTCTCAACGAGTCTCCCAGATCGCTGGCCACCTCTCTGGTCGTAAGTACGCCAAGCACCTGCGCGCCCGAGCCTCTTGCTAGCAGCGTCGCTGACCCACTCTTCGTCTTCCTTCACAGCCGCCCCTCTGCTCAAGGGCCAGGTCGCCATCGTCACCGGTGCTGGCCAGGGTATCGGAGCGGCCACCGCCAAGCTCTTCGCTAGCCACGGCGCCCACGTCGTCGTCTCGGACCTGGACGCCAAGAAGGCATCCGATGTTGCCTCCGAGATCGTCAAGGCTGGCGGCTCGGCCATCCCCAACGCCGGCAACGTTATGGACAAGGACTTTGGCGAGCGCGTCGTCAAGGCCGCCGTCGACAAGTGGGGCAAGCTCAACATCATTGTCAACAACGCCGGCTTCACCGCCGATAAGATGGCCCACACCACCGACGACGCCACCTTCCAGCTCATGCTCGACTGCCACATCACCGCCCCCTTCCGCATCATCCGCGCCGCCGCACCCTACTTCCGCATCAAGGACGAGAGCAAGCGCGAGAACATGGCCATCGTCAACGTCTCCTCCACCTCGGGCACCCACGGCAACGTCGGCC